TTGAATATTTCACACCAAATACGATGAACACTAACTTCAATATCATTTGTTGGTAGTAATAGTTCTATACTGTTTGTGAGATGTTTCGACGAGAACTGAGGTGAAGGAAGTTGCTTTCGATCTATTTTTCCATTTGGATTCAAAGGTAATTTGTCAAGTATAATGAATATTGATGGAATCATATGTGGTGGAAGATGAGATTGACAATGTTGATGTAGTTGTTCTTCTTCATTGATATGAGATGATTGAACATAAGCAACTAAGTAATCATCATTCCATTTCAAGACAACACATGCAGAGATAGATGTAATGTTAAGTAAACATCGTTCGATTTCACCAAGTTCGATTCGTTGTCCATGTAGTTTGATTTGATGATCTTTTCTTCCTTGATAATGAAGAAGACCATTGTTATCCATTCTAACAAGATCACCTGTTCGATAAAATTGTCTGTCATCTATTTCAACAAGAGCTTTTGCAGTCAAATCATCACGTCCAAGATAACCAGCAAATACACCAACACCTCCTACATACAGTTCACCTTCTTCATTGGTAACAGATATTTGTAAATATTGATTCATAATCATACATCGATAGTTGGGTAATAGACGTCCCATTGGAATGTTCATCATATTTTGAATTCTACCTATGATATAACCTGTGCAATCGACAGTTGTTTCTGCAGGTCCGTAGATGTTCCATACAGAACAAGCTTGTGGCAGATATGTATACAACTTCTCAATTCGTTGAACTGTGCTTGCTTCTCCTAGAAAGTTTCAATAATATAGATTTAGTTTAGAAGAAATGCGATACGCACCGCCAATATCAAAAGTACGCAAAGTGCTCAACTTTTCAGCGCTATGATTTTGTAGAAATTTTAAAAAAATATTCATATATGTTGGTACGCACTGCATATATGACACTTGTTTTCCATTTAACGTCTTCGTTACATATCCTAAATCCATATTTCCTTGAGGGCGAAGCATTACAATCGTTGAGCCAGTGTTTAAAGCACCAATGATTTCTCGAGCATGCACATCATATGAACAAGTTGCCATTTGTATCATAGTATCTTTATTTGTAAATAAATTCAATCGAACAAGAGAATCAATGCAAGACAACAAATTTCGATGACGAATTTGGACCTAATAAGCAAAATTGAAATAAACTATTATTTAAGCAAGAATTAATCATACTCCTTTTGATGTTCCTGTTGAACCACTAGTGAACACAATATATGCAATATTCTCTGCCATTACTACAATCTCCGGAAGGTGATCGATAATTATAGAACTGTTAATGTGACCGACAGTCCATATGAAATCTACGTTACATAGAACGATTTCACTAGAAAACTTCAACGTTGTAGAATGATGAACAAGAACAAGACGACTTTGAGTTTGTTGTATGAGTGTATGCAAACGATGTTGTGGATCTCGAGGTGATAATGGACAATAAACACCACCAGCCATTTCAATTCCCATTATACCAATCACCTAGTTCAAACAAATTTTTTATTATCTTAAACAATTATTTCTTCAAAAACTTACCATTGACAAGCTTCGCTCAACACATTGACACACGACCTCACCTGGCAAAATATGATATTCATTAAAAAGAGTTAAAGATAATATTTGTACATAATGTAATAGTTCACAATATGTCAAAGATTGTTCATCCAGTTCAACAGCTAGTTTTTGTGGATGTTTCATTACTTGATATACAAACTCATGATGAATACAAGTGTGAGAAGATGAAAATGGTATTTGTGTATTGTTTAATGATTGCATTAGATATTGTTCATTTGATAATGCTAATGATAATTCATAGATAGGTTTGTTTATTTCACTACCGATAATAAATGCAGATAATTGATGTAAGATGAAATG